GAATCGTCCGATCTACGTTTCTATACTATAAAAGGGGCGATCTACATTGCCCATTTTTGGTAATGTGCCCGACTGCATTAGTATTTTCCTCAGTTAGAAATAACTTCAGCAGTATGATTTGGAATACTGTTGATTAAATTCATGAAAATCGATGCATCTAGACTTTCCTATTCCTCTAAAAGCGCTGTCTTCAGTTTTTCATATGTTCTTTTGATCTATGTATCTTTTCTGAGGGTATTGCAGTACTGTACATCAATTTTTTTAATTGACGAATTTGAAGTGACATCTAATGTATATATATATGTATATATATATGTGTGTGTGTTTGTTTTATTGTGCAAGTACATATAAAACTGCGCACACGAAAATTTAATTGAACATTTTTTTAATCCATAGCAGATCTGTGAGCATTTTGTAATTTCTTCTTAAATATTTGTTTACTTTGATTTCATTTGGATTGGGTAGAAATCTCGACTGCAAAATTTTTGAACTGATAAGATAAAAAATACCGAATTTATTACTCTAATTGCCAAAGATAATATATAAAAGAATAAATTCTAATGCATTGTTTTATGATTGTCGTTTTTTGTTTCATGTTTTCATTGGTTAATTGTTCATTGTTGTATTATTACAATTTGTTAAAATAAGATAATGAATTGTGCCTTTACAACCTTTTAATTATTTAAAATTAATAAGAAACCGATATGTTTAAGTAGGTAATGGTAAATTCAAATGATAGATATTTTTCAATGCTCTCAAGTTTGTGAAACACGATTTATTAAATTTGTACTTATTGCTCAGATTAGTCAATAATATAACTAAAAAAATCCAAATAATTTACTGTATCATCTTTGTATTGTCAGTATTACTGTATTGTTGCAATGAGAGCAGTAAAGAGAATCTTAAATTTTCAAATTATTTTTGTATAAAAACAAATAGTTCATCATAGACTTGTTATTTTCTACTTTTAACCTTTTTGCTATTTGCATTTTATGATTTGGATAAATCGATATTATTTTAAAATTTACTAATACTTTTTTTCTTTGTGGATGTAATATCCTAAATTTTATTAATGCATATCATATAACAAAGCCTATGAAGTTAAGAATAAAACTGATCTATATAATTTCTCTTAATATAATCTATTTGCCAACAAATCTCAAATTTGAAGATAATTTTATTAATAAACTTCACACGTTATAATGTAGCATAAATTGTGTTTAGTTTTATGATTAGCACTTATGAGTATAATTAACATGACATTGCACTTTAATCTGAAATAAATAAAATTAAATATTTGTTATTCATAACTCATTTTAAATAAATTAAGCTAGATCGAATATATCTTAATTTAGTCATTTTAAAGTATCCTCTCCTTGAGCAATGTTTCAGAAAAAAATACCTAGGAATAAAAGTAGGTTACATGATGTTACTATTGAATTATTATATATAAACTTCTCTGGCTATACACACTTTAGCATAAGAGTCAATATCAAATTTAAATAGTTTCATTCCTAAATTCAATTCTACACATCCACCATGAGATCTCATTCTGACAATAGGAAATAAATTTTCATTTAAAGCAACTTCAAATGCAATGTCTGGAATTATTCATAAATTTAAAGAGCATTTTTATATTGATAGTACTATAAAATCATAATTATCTAAATTAGTTTCATTTTTTGTATAAAAAACATAACAATTTACAAAATTGACACAACAACCAATAGTGACTCCTGTGCTAAATAAAGGACTGTACACTTCATAATGACCACTTTCATCAAATTTAAATCCATCATCACCATGATATCCCATTGAACCAGAATGCCATCCTATGGTAGAAAGAATAAAGAAAGAATTATGTGAATATAAGATTATATTCATATACAATATGCAATAATCTGTTAACCTGGCAAAATATTAAGGTTGTTTAAATTTTTAGTAAATCCAATTTCAATATAACTAATTTTGATTAAAATTATTTAAATAAATAAAATAATATAAAAAATAATGATATCATAAGTATACCCAGTTTCGCCTTTATCTATAATAATATCAACTTCAAAATAATATAACAAAATTTTAGGTAAAACAGAAAAATCAGTAGAAATTGATACTGATTAATTATCACCATCACCAGGCCTATTGTTAAATATGGTTATAAATATAAATTAAAAGAAGATATACATAAATCAAGAACAAGAACAGAAAAAATACTAATAATTACTTATATATTTAATCATTAATTTATTATCTACACACTTAACATACTTTGACAATATTCTTTGAAGCACATTGGTAGACATAATGGATGATTTGGATTTTGAAGTTTTTCTATAATTGCATCTTTAAGGTAGCTTGGAATAAAAGATTGTTTATCTATACTTACCATATTAGATATTATATATATTTTTGGATAAAATGTGTATTTTATTCTTGCTATATACATATAAATTATAGTGAATTATTAAAATAAACCTATAAATACTGCTTAATTTCGTAACTGAGGTATGTAAAATCATAGCTAAGGCATTGCTTATACTCAAAGTTGTAAAAATATTGGTTTCACCTGAAGTTTCAGTATATTTCAGAGGCAATACGATATTTGATATTATGCAAGAAAGTAAAATAGTCAAAATAATAGACTTATTTGGTACCATTAATTTGGTCATAATATCTTTCCACATAATAGGATCAAAAATTTGTTGATATGGATATAATTTATCAATAATTCTTCACTGGCAATTTGAAAGTATTGAATATAGGGTAGGCAATTTTTAAGTGTAGTCTTTAAAGTTGTGAATTTGGCGTTAGACCATTGTGCAGGATTAGAATCTAGATCAGAGTTTTGAGCAATTCCCCAACGAATGACTTGATCTCAAATTTTTCCTTCATCCATTTGTAAGTTGTCAAGTTTCAAAAGGAAGACCAGTGCCTTTTCTGAAAGATTCTCAAAGTCATTAGAATTAAAAACTATACTCAGATGATTAATAATAATATTATTACAAACCTCTTGTAATGTTTTAAAATCATTACTTTCAAAACATATTTTGTAAACTTTAGCAAAATTTAGGCGTATCCACAATGCATAATTTTTAACTAATTGTGTTTGCGCAGTATTAACTAATTCTTCGAGACCAAATTCACTAGCAGCAGTTAAAAGGCCAAGGATTGTAGTCACATCAGCTTTATTGAATAGAATTATACCACTATAAATATATCTATATAATTTGAAAAGAAACACTTGAACTCTTATTTAACAAGTACAAAATTTAAAAATATAATTTAATTATTATAATTTACTTAACTAGAAAATGCACATGTGAACGGCTTCGCTGCCCAGTTCGAAGTTGATGATATTATAGGCAAAACAATAATAACAGTGTTTTTTATTATAATTTAGAAAGAATAAAAAATTTCATTCTTTTTTATTGCATTTTGAAAAATTTTATAACCCCTTTGACTACCGTATATTTCCAATTAAAAGCAACCTGATTTTGAAGCCAAAGATTTGACTATAGTTATTATTTTCTACTAATAAAATTGTACTCGA